ATAAAAAAGAAAACTAATAGAGCCTTCTACTTAAAATTTGTGTATCTTTTGATATGTGTATTAATCTTTAACTTTTTTTGCTTTCTGTTTTTACACACCACCACTCCCCTCAATTTTTAACTTGTTTTTATATGACTGAGACATACAGCATATTTTGATGTACGTACCCAGCAGTGCATTAATATCAGTTATGGGGTTGTTCTTCATTTGCGAATTGATAATAAAAAGGCAAACAACCAAGCAGGAGAAAAAAAAAGAAATTTCTAGAGAGCAGGATATGGTTTAGAACTTACCTCTTAGCAACAGGAAGTCCATAGCCAATTCCTGACTTCTCCTTGTGTGTATGAGAAGCTCGCTTGGGTTTAGCTTCCTCCAGTTGAAAAGGGAATAAATAATAACCTCTACCTCCCAAATTTGTTGTGATCACGTGGCAGGATGATTATAGAAACTTTTCAGAGGTGTCTGTGCACTATCCCATGGTGTCATGAGTATAATCTATGCAATTATGGACCATATAGTGGAAGTAAAGATACATTGTTCTCAAAGTTTGCCGCCAGCGTGCAGTAGGGAGCAGGTTAGGGCACAGGTGATTGATGTTGTTGTTGTTGTTATGTGCCATCGAGTCACTTGTGACTCATAGCGACCCTATGTACAAGAACTCTAAACGCCGTTCTATCCTAAACCCACTTATTCTCACCACTCCAGTCACAGAATTGATCTATCTCATCGAAGGTCTTCCTCTCCTGCGCCATCCCTCCACTCTGCCAAGCATGATGCCCCTCTCCAAGGACCAGTCCCTCCTTGCAACATGCCCAAAGTATGTCAGACAAAGCTTCAGAATCCTTGACTCCAAGGAGCATTCCGGCTTCACCTTTTCCAGGACAAACCTGTTTGTTCTCCTAGCAGTCCATGGTATATTCAACACTCTTCTCCAGCACCACAGCTCAAAGGCATCAATTCTCTATCATCCCTATTCACTGTCCAACTCTCCGACGCATAGCACGCAATTTCGAAGACTATAGCTCAGATCAGGCGTACCCTAGTCCCCAGCCTGATGTCGTTGTTCTTCAGTACTCTTGAGAGGTCCCTCGTAGCTGACTTTCCCAATCTGATTCGTCTCTTGATTGCCTGGCTGCTGTTACCCACAGTGTTGATTGTGAAGTCAAGTAAATTAAAACTGTTAACTATCTCAATCTCTTCTCCATCCATATACTGATGCTGCCAATTGGCCCAGTGTTGAGAATCTTTGTTTTCTTGATGTTGAGCTTCAATCCATATAGGAGGCTGCAGTCCTTGACCTTCTGCAGCAAGCGCTTCAGGTCCTCCTCAGTTTCAGCAAAGAGGGTTGTGTCATCTGCATAATGCAGGTTGTTGATGACTCTTCCACCAATCCTGATTGATACTCATATCAGTTCCACTTGTTACAGCTAGCCTTTGTTGCTGCTGTAATATTACTGTCCACATGGTTTATACTTCTCAATGGTTTTATAAAAATGGATAGTAAAGGAGTAGGTTCTTAATGGCTGTTGTTTTAATAACCTAGTACTGCTGTAGAAAAAAATTGAGCTCTGGTGGCAGTCCCATAGGGAATTGTGATGCTACCCTAAAGGCCACGCCTCTCTGACCGTTCAAATGGACCAGTGCCTCTGAGAGGAAGATCAACAATCTCCTCGCGGGTGTTTGACAGATTCAGAAACCTGCTGTAGGGTCAGCTGTAAGTGGGTTCCGATCCCACAGCAAGGACTTTGACTCTGTAACAATTAAACAAGAGTGGCTTTAACACATAGGAATTTCTTATCTCACAATTTAGGAGGTTAGGAGTCCAAATTCAGGGCCCCAGTTTTAGATGAAGGCGCTCCCTGGTGGTGTGTATTAGGTATTGAGCTGCTAAGTGGAAGGTTGGTGGTTTGAAGCCACCAGAGGAGAAAATAAACAATCTCTTCCAATGAATATTTAGAAGCGTGGAAACCCAGTGGAGGGTCTGGACGAGTCCTAGTGGGCTTGGTTTGAGTGTGGCTCTAGGGGAGAAGGAAAGGTTCACTAACTTTCAATTTTTATTTCTAAATTCCTTGGTGATTTTTTACATTTATCTTCCCATCTGATTATGCTTGCTTTCTTGGTCTGCTTTCATATATTTCAAAAGAAGTTTAAATATGGATGCGACAAGAGTTCAGTCTCACTAAGAAGCTCTGGTGGCCTAGTATGCACTGCAATCCCAAAGGCGTGAGGTTCAAATCCACTGGATCGGATTTGATGGTACACAACAGGGAGGAAACACACACACCCAAAAAAAATCCAAAAAACCTAAATAAATAAATAAATAGTTTGGCTTTACTAACATAACCAAAAAAAAAAAATCACATTCTGACCATATGAAACACAGTGGAATGAAGGCCATATGTAAAACCACAAATATGAATTTTGCATGCAAACCAACATAAATTTTTTAAAAATATGTTTTAAAAAATTCGTTTAAAAGGAGCTCTGGTGGCCTAGTGGCGAGAAGCTGCACTGCAATCCCGGAGGCTCGTGGTTCGAATCCACCAGAGGCTCTGCTGGAGAAGGAGGGATAATCCCTTCTTGTACCAGTCAGATCCGATTTGATGGTACACACAAAAAATAATAAAATATTTTTTTTTCAAATTTTGTTTTTAAAAAAAACACATTCCAATTGGGAATATTAACCACAGGTTAAAGAAGTTGGGATTTACAGTCATTTTTGAGGGGACATAACAGTTGTTAAATAGACAGCTATGAAAGCAACACTTTCCTACATGAGGTATTGGACCTCTGAACAATTATTTTAAGGTTGGTTTTAATTAGCATGTCGGCTTCTTTGTAATTTTTTTTTTATTCATTGAAGTAGAAGGAAAAGAGGAAGGACAGGCCAGTCAGTCTTCCCCGGGGTCAGCCTCCAGGCAGCTGTATTGACCACCACAGTCTAGAAGGGAGTGGGAAGCAGTGGCTGAGAGAAGAAGTTCTAAGAAAGTCCCTTGTCACAACACGTGATTCAAAAGACTTGGTGACCCTGGGAATGTGGCTGTCCCTCTCCTGACATGTTCCTCTCCACTGCAGAACTGATACACCCAGGTAAAGCAGTGTTGTTGTTGTTGTTGTTGTTGTTGATTGCCGTCGAGTCAAGCACGACTCATTGCGATCCTATGAACAAAAGACCTGTAGTCTTTCTGTAACTATCATTATTTCTCAAAAGTTCATAGAGTTTCCAGAGGCATGTTGTTTAGGAAGTGGATGCCACTCCTGCTTCCAAACCTGTCTTAATCTGGGAGCACAGCCACTGTCCACCGTGGATAACCATTACAACATTCAGCACCCCAGTGGCACAGAGTTCAATTCAGCATCACAGCCAGTCCAGGTGACCTCAATACAGTGAATTGACAGACCAGAGCTGCACCACTAGGAAGGATGTTCCTCTAAATTATAATTACACTAAGCCCCAGGGCCACAGGTCCAAGGGCCCAACCAACTTTTATAAATACAAAGGCCCTCCAGGAGGTGGTGTTGACTCTAAACAAGAGGCTTAAATAAAAAACAACCAAACATTCCTTATGACCCAACAAGAGAGCCCACTTTCAGAGTAGAACTGCTTCACCCAGTCTGCCTTTCATCCGTTTATTATTGTTAAGTGCCGTCTAGTCAAGTACAACTCATAGCAACCTTATGAACAGAAGACTTGAACCCTGTTCTAGAACTATCATCGTTTCGCTTTGTTTATAGAGTTTCCAGAGGCATGTGGTTTAGGAAGTGGACACCACTCCTGCCTCCAAACCTGATTTAATCTGGAAAAAGCATGAGGCTGCTCCTAATACCAAGGGCAGACCTGATTTCCAGAGTCCTTATCTGCTGATGTGGAGAACGTTTCATATCTCCTATGGACTCTACCCTGGTCAGCCTCTGAAGGCCCCCTATGAGCCCTGAGAGTTGAATACTTCATTATAATCTTCTCCATTTTGCAAGTGGAGAAACTGGGCCACAGAAAGGTTAAGTCACCTAGGGGAGTCCAAGTAGCCAGGTCCAAGGGCAGGCAGGCTGGGTCTGGTCCTCCTCTCTGAACCACCAGCTTCTACCGCCCCCTCCATCTCAACATGTGATGTCTCCTCAGTTGAGGAGACTTGACCTCAGTTTTCCGAGCTGTGAAATGGATTTCCCAATACTCACCTCTTCTGTTTGCTGCAAGAGTTAAATAACATCGTGGTCACATTAGTCCCTGCAGAAAAGAAAAGGGAATGTCCCAATGCCTGGGGCCTCACCTTCAATGATGTGAGTTCCTGGTCACTGTACAATGTCCCACAGAGGGGAGAGATAATACATGACCAGAATCCAAGCCCTGGATTGTCCAGAAAGGGCCTGGCAAAACTCAGGAGCCCCTTCCCAGCACCAATCCCATGATGGGAAGGGTTTCCTGGCATTGTCATGGTCTCCCCTTGCCCTCCACACCTGGATGAACGTACTGCATCCTGTTCATTCCCTACCAGAGAAGGAAGTGAAATTTAGGATCTGGGAGTGTGAAGTAAGCATCCACCCCACCCCCAGCAGGCAGATAAAGGGGCCAGCCCAACGCAGGCGCTCCTAGCCGTTTGCAAGCGCACCCTGTACACCATGGCCCACCACGGCTCGCTGCTCACCTGCATGCTCTTCACTTTGCTCGCCCCCCTTGCTCTGGAAGGAGGTCTGAGCGAGGAGACCTCCACCTGCTGCAGTCTCACTGTGCCCCGGAGAGAGTGGGGGGCCACTGCATCTGCATGCTCCCAGAAACTGAACCAGCCGGTGCGTTATGTGATAGTGTCGCACACGGCGGGCTCTTCCTGCAACAGCCCAGCCTCGTGCCAGCAGCAGGCCCGCAATGTACAGCATTACCACATGCGGGAGCGGAAGTGGTGCGATGTGGCCTACAAGTGAGTGGAGAGGCTGGGCGGGAAGGGGGTAAAGAGGGCGAGGGGGAGGGTGTGGAGTGCACGGAAGAAAAGGGTGCAGGCCAGGGGGCCCGCAGAACCCAGCTCTACGCTCCGTTCTGGAGCCTCCAGCCTGGTACTTTGGACAGTCCACTCAACCTCCAGGCACCTTGGTTTCTCCCAGGATCTCGACAGAGGACCGGGAGCGAGTGAGTACCAGGCACAAGAGACCCCGAGGAGGCAAAATAGCTAAGGTCAAAGGGGACCCCTGATGCCTTTGTGAGGGGCAGAAAAACGTACAGGTTAAATTCGGGCTGGGTGCCAGCCCCTTCTAAAATAAATTAAAAAAAAAAACACACACACAAAAAAACCCCAACACTGTTGTTTGATCTCTTTCCACTCCTGGGCATTTATTTTTGGAAAATTAAGTTTCTGAGGCTGTAAATCTCACCGGGAGGAGACTGTCCATCTTTCCTAGAGTAACTTGTTGACTTTGAACTGCAGACCTTTTTGGTGACTGGGCAAACACACAGTGCTCTAGGCCATCTTGGCTCCTTACAGGTAACTGAATTCTGAGACCTGGGTCAGGTCGCTGGCCCTCTCCAAGCTTCAGTTCTCATCACTGCAAAGACCCCAGGTTGGAGCCCACCTGGTCATTAAATTGTCTGGTCCACGCAGGGCACTTAGATACCACCTGCTGTATACACCAGGACCAGGTGCCATCCAGGTCACTGACTTCACAGCCTCACATGTGTCCGAGCAGACTGTGTGCCCTCAGGTTTCCAGTGAGTGATTTGGGGGAAGGAGATCACCAGGCCTCAGAATGGGCTCGAACCTCTGACCTTAGCAGCTGAGAAGAAGAGATGTTGGAAAAACTGTATGTGAATGGAAAGAATGGGAGAGGGAGAAGAATGAATGAGGAAAGGGATGGAGTCTTCCTCCAGGAAGCCCTCCCAGACTCATCCATCCCCTCCCCACCCTGACAGCTTCCTGATCGGAGAAGACGGGCTGGTGTATGAGGGCCGGGGCTGGAACATCAAGGGCGACCACACAGGATACATCTGGAACCCCATGTCCATTGGGATCACGTTCATGGGCAATTATATGGGTGAGTGACTGGGTCCGGGAGGGGCAGGAGGCTGCAGAGGAGGGTTCTTAGAGGGGCTCTGCCACCTTTACCTGAGCCTCTGAGCCTCTTTTCAATAGTGGGAATCACTGTGAGCCCTAAGGTTGCAGGGGGCACGGGGGCAGGTAAGATTGGTCTCTACTAGAGAAGCTATTGGTTCTGTACACAGCACCTGTTATTGTTGTTGTTGTTATGTGTCGTCGAGTCGCTTGCGACTCATAGCGACCCTATGTACAACAGCCCTAAACTCTGCTGTTTTGTGCCAATCGCACCGTCTCTGACACACCCATCCCTATTACCCCAATCACTGAATCAATCCACCTCATAGGGGGCCTTGTCCCTCCACCCTACCAAGCATGATATCCCTTTCCAAGGACCTGTCCCTCCTTGCAACATGTCCAAAGTATGTTAGACGGAGCCTCAGAATCCTTGCCTCCAAGGAGCAGCCTGGTTTGACCCTTTACCTGAGAAGGGCTTATTAAGCATCAGGTATTATTTGGGGTGGCAACTAGAGATCTGGGGCAGAGGAAGAGGAAAGGCCAAGGGCCATTGGCCATTTGCTGGAGCAGGTATGTGGAGACTGATGCAACGAGAGGGTAAGTCACTGCAAGGGCTCTCTCTCTCACGCTCGCTCGCTCTCTCTCTCTCTCTCCTTTCGCCTTCTTTATCACTATCTTTGCCTCCCTCAGAACGGGTGCCTCCAGCCCGGGCCCTCCGGGCAGCCCAGAATCTGCTGGCCTGTGGCGTGGCACAGGGCGCCCTGATCCCACAATATGAAGTCAAAGGGCACCGGGATGTGCAGCAGACACTGTCTCCGGGTGACCAGCTCTACGCCATCATCCAGAAATGGCCGCACTACCGAGAATGAGGCCCAGCCAGCCGGTCCCTCGCTCCAACTGCAAACCCACTGCCTCCTTCTCCTCCAATAAAGGCCCCAAAGGCCCAGCATCGACCTGTGCTCCTCCTGCCGTGTTTTTGTGAGACTACAAGTTTTTCCTGAGCCTGAAACCCTGTCTCCCATTTATACCCAGAAATACACACGGGCTCCATCCCCAAATCCTCTTCATGTCTCCCCACCCTACCCTACTCTCCATTCATAAACTAAGGGATTTACGAGCCTTTAATCCAGCATGCATTGCAAGGGGGAGGGCGAGAGGGCTGGGCCTCACTCCTGAAGCCCCGCCCTCAGCCCCGCCCTCAGTCCCCCCTCAGCTCCTGGAGAGGTGTGGCTGCACGGGTCAGGTCTGGAGGGGGCGCATCACAGCTGTGAGGTCACCATGTCGTGTCCAGCCGGCTCATGTATCCCTGCAAGGCCTTCAGGTGGACATCTATCTGGGCCTTGTCAGTCTTCCTCCACTCCTGCCCCTTCCCAAAACAGCACAGAAAGTTCAAATCTAAAGTTCTCCAAAAAGGGGGGAGAAGCTTACACGACATTCTCCCTCTTTCTAGCAGTGTGGGGAGACCGTTCCCTCCCCCTATTTCTCCAACAAAAAAGGACAGAGACCTTGCTCCTAGCTGTCCTATGGAAAGAATCAGACCCTACCACACATCTATCTGATGGCACTTAATAACAAAACCCTCCCATCTGCCGTTCATCAGTTCTTGCCCCAATCTCCGCCCACAACCCCGCCTCCAGCCCTCCGAGCCTCTCCTCCAGCTCTGCGGCGCACAGGGGCGCTCTCTCTAAAACGCAGATCCTCTCAGCTCCCTCCAAGGGGCTCAAGACCTGACAAAGCAACTGTACCGCAGGCTATTCCTTGCAGCCCTCTTTTTAAGTGCAAATGAGTGGAAATAAAGTACATCACTCAACAACTTGCTGAATCTCAAACTGACCCACACACAAAAAAGCCAACACTGCCTTCAAGTGGGTTCTCAGAATTGCCCCATCTCCTGTAAGTCTTGACCGAAGGGAGGACAGGAGGACGCTGTGGTGACCTAGTCCAGGGGAGTTGAGCTGCGAACCCAAAGACCACGCTCTTTCCTGCTGGTTCCAATCCAGCCTAGGCTCTGGGGCATAAAGATGGGCACTCGCTCTCTGTGTGAGCTATAAACTTCACACAGAAACCCAGCGCAGGGTCCGCTGTGAGCTTCTGACTCCACACCAGTGAGGAGGAGTATTTTTTTAAAAACAAATTTTTTAAATTTTAATATGTGTGTGTGTGTGTGTGTGTGTGTGTGTACCATCAAATCGGATCTGACTGGCACAGGAGGAGATTGCCCTTCCTTCTCCAGCAGAGCATCTGGTGGATTTGAACCACATACCTCTGGGATTGCAGTGCAGCTTCTTGCCACTAGGCCACCAGAGCTCCCTGAGAATCTTTGTTTTCTTGATGTTGAACTTCAATCCATATACGAGGCTGCAGTCCTTGACATTCTGCAGCAAGTGCTTCAGGTCCTCCTCAGTTTCAGCAAGCAGGGTTGAGTCATGTGCATAACGCAGGTTCTTCCACCAATCCTGATGCCACATTTCTCCTCGCAATTAATTTTAAATTATAAAGAAAAATGAACTCTCACTGCCATCTTTGTTATGTGTCATCGAGTCAGACCATCTCATAGCTGACCCTCCAGCGGGTTTGCAAAAGCAGTAAAAGGCTCTGGAGGAGATTGCTCACCTTTATTTTTTCCCCCCAGAACAGAGACCACAGATTCGAACCATGTGCCTTAGGGTTAGTAGCACAATTCTTTACCACTAAGCCACCAGAGTTTTCTCACTGCCATCTAGTTGGTTTCAATTTAGAGAGCCTTCCAAGGCTGTCCGTCTTAACAAGAGCCTGCAACTGGCACTAAAGTAATGGAAAGGTAACACCGTGTAAAACCCTGGGAACTCTGGTGGCGGAGCCCAAAGGGAGGTGCACTGCTAACATGAACAGCACACCCTCCTGTCGGTTCAAATCCACAAACAGCTCCCCCGAAGGAAAACAAGCAATCTCTTCCTGTGCTATTTAAAGCCTCCAAAAACCTGCAGGACTGTCAGCCAGGAGTGGGTTCTCTCTCCCTGGCAATGAGTTTGAGTTCTTTTGTTTTAATAGTACTTCAGACAAAAAGATTCTTTTAAACTCTTGTTGAGGGCCATAGAGGCAGAACCAACTCCTAGCTGACTGTCTAGCAGGTTTTCAGAGGCATAAATCTCACTAGCGGTGACTACCCATCTTTGTCCCACAAAGCCTCTGGCAGATTCAAACCACATATCTTTGGGCTGGCAGTCGGCTCCTTAATCACTAGGCCACCAGAGCTCCCTCTGGATACAATATATGATAGCTCTGTACTAATGTTAGCCTAGTTTTTCCCCCTCCATAATATCTTTAAGGAAAAAAGAGACTTTCTCTTCATCTGTAGACTTCTCAAACTAACATCCTTTTCTTTCCCTTTGCCACCTGTTCCAGTAATCTATGAATAAGAGTTACTTACTGCCTTTAACCCAACATTTGAATAATACAAACCTCCCCCAAAATATTGATAAAATTAAAACAACTAGGGCCACAGAGACTAGAGAAGATAACGTGAAATCTTCCCATACCCCACAGTCCTATCTGTCCTCATAAGACAGGGACACAGATTTGAGAAGCTCATAAACCCAATCTCTCATATACTAGTATTGATCATCTAATGCATTGTTGTTGTTAGGTGCCAGTCAGTTAACAATGATTCATAACAACCCTATGAACAACAGCTGTATCCTTTCACCATAGTTGTTTGTTCAATCTCTATGGCCAAGCAAATCATTCCAGAGGCTGGAAGTTATAAAGAAGAATTGGAGGAAGGATTGGAGGAAGACTCATCCACAAACTGCAGTACGGAGATGATACAACCTTGCCTGCTGAACACAAAGAGGACTTGAAATGCTTGCTGCTGAAGATCAAATACTAGGGATTCAAAATACAATACATTTCAACTTCAAGAAGATAAAAATCTTCACCACTGGGTCTATAGAAAACATCATGATACATGATACATTAAGAGAGAAGACTGAAGTTGTCACCAATTTCATCTTACTTGGATCCATAATCAACATCCGTGGAACCAGCATTCAGGAGTTCAGGAGACGTGTTGCATTAGATAAATCTGCTGTCAAAAACCTTTCTAAGTGTCGAGGAGCAATGATGTCAGTTTAAAGACTAAGGTGCATCTGATTCAAGCCATGGTCTTTTCGGTTACTTACTAAGCATCTGACAGTTGATGAATAAGGGTGACACAAGAAGAATCAATGTTTTTGAGTTGTGGCATTAAAGAAGAGTACTGAATATTTCCTGGACTGCCGAAGGAACATGTCTTAGAGTAACTGCAACCAGCTTACTCCTTAGAGGAAAAGGATGGTGCAGCTTCATCTCATGTATTTTGGGCATGTTGTGAGAAGGGGCTGGTCCTTGGAAAAGGACCATCATCATCATTGTGCATGGAAAAGTGGAGGGTCGTTGAAAGAAAGGAAGCCCCTCAACGAGATGGATTGATACAGTGACTGTAACCATGGACTCAAGTATATTAGAAAAGATGAAGATGACACAGAACAGGGCGGGGTACAGGTCCATAGGAGTCCTGGAGACTCAAGGGCACCCAAATCACAACACCCTAAGCAGGGGAAGAGCTACAATGCAGTTGATAGAAGACAAGCGTCCCCTGGCGGTGGAAAGGGAGAACCGCGAAGAGAGATTCAGCATCCTTGTCTCTGAATCAAGATTAAGGTCACAGTCAGAGCCAGTGAAGCTCCTGGACACCTGCTGCCGCTACGTCACCTACATAAAAAACAGGATAGCTGTTTTTCTTGTGTGGTTGTTAAGTGTCTTCAAATTGAATACAGTTCTTTTTTTTCTATAATTATATTTTATTAATTTTCATAAACATTTACAGAGATTTTGGGTTTCCATTCATTCACCGCTGCACCATTCTCT